TGTTTGGCGGGCCCGGGCTGGGGATTCAAACCCACCACCTTAGGTGTATGTGGCTGGCGCCTTAGCCGCTTGAGCCACAGGCGCCAAGCCTATTTTCACATTCTAATGGGAGTTCTTTCCGGAACAAATCTGTTTGTGGATGTTGACGTATACATGAAATTTGTCATTTTAATCATTTTTAGGTGTAGCATTCGGTAATGTCAAGTACATTCACCATCCAGTTCTAGAACTTTTTTCATTTTTGCAAAACTAAAATTCTGTACTCATCAAACAATAGTTGCCTAGTCCTCTCTCCCCTCTGCCCCTGGCAATCAGCATTCCACTTTCTGTCTCAATGAATCTGACTACTCTAGAGACCGCATATAAGTGAAATCATATTTGTCTTTTTATGTCTGGCTTATTTCATGAAGCATATTCTTTAAGGTTCATCCATGTCATAGGATGCTGTCATAATCTGTTCAAGCTGTAACTAGGTCTCTTAAAAACAGCAGAAATTTATTTCTCATAGTTCTGAAGGCTCTGAAGTCCAAGATCGAGACCACAGTAGCTTTATCTAAGGGCCCTTCTTCTAAGGGCCCATTTCCTGATTCATAGACGGCACCTTCTCGCTATGTCCTCACATGGCAGAAGGAGTGAGGGGGTCTCTCTTGAGCCTGTTTTGATGAGGGCACTAACTTCATTCTTGAGAGCTGTCTCCTCATCATCTAATCACTTCCAAAGGCCCCACTTCCTAACGCCATCCCCTTGGGGATTAGGATTTGAATTTATAAATTTTATAAGGACATATACATCTTATTTATTTATTTTGAGACAGAGCCTCAAGCTGTCCACCTGGGTAGAATGCCGTGGCATCACAGCTCACAGCAACCCCCAATTCCTGGGCTCAAGCAAGTCTCCTGTCTCAGCCTCCCAAGTAGCTGAGACCACAGGTGCCCACCACAATGCCTGGCTATTTTTTGGTTGCAGCCGTCATTGTTGTTTGGCAGGCCCGGGCTGGATTTGAACCCACCACCTTAGGTGTATGTGGCTGGCACTTTAGCCATTTGAACCACAGGTGCCAAGCCTCTTATTTATTTTTTAATTGAAAAGTCAATTGATTTCAGGTTAATATGAGAGTACAAACAACCAGGTCAAAATATTTGATTTTGTTAGGTAGAATCCCTGGATGTACACATTTTAGATCATAGCACATGAGCCGGAATTTCCTGTTTAAGGCTGAATAATATTCCCTCGTGTGTATACACCACATCTTGCTTAGCCGTTCACACAGCAGTCATTTAGATCATTTCCCGCTTAGACACTGAGAATAATGCTGCTATGAATATGAATATGAAAATTGTTGAGTCTCTCCTTTCAGTTCTGTTGGGCATATGCCCAGGAGTGGAATTTCTGGGTCAAATGGTCTTTCTGTGTTTGATTTTTAAAAGAATGACTGTATTGTTGTCCATAGCAGCTGCCCCATTTTCTGCTCTGCCCAGCCGGTCACAATGGTTCAAATTTCTCTACATCCTGGCCAACATTTGTTATGTTTTGTTTTTGTTTTTATCATATCCATCCTATGGGTTTGAGATAGTGTTTCATTGTGGTTTTGATTTGTGTTTTCCTAATGAGTAGCAAGAGTGAGGATGTTTATTTCTTTTTTACTCTTTCATTTTATAACTATGATTAGATATGAAGTTCTCTCTCTAGGTAACTGTAGTTCTTTAAAAATTATGTCAAAATAAAAGCCATATTCTCAGTTTTCCTGAATAATTTTGAAAATAAGCCTAGTCAGGCAAGGATGATGACTGCACCATGCATTCTCATAGTAATCACCATTACCATGGATCGATTGAAGGAGATCTAAATTGTTATAAATGTCGAGAAAGCAATAGTTTCAAGCAAGGGCGCTGCACAAGGATTGAGAGTTGTGAACTTAAGTGTTGAACCAAACTTTCATTTTTTTGCAGTTTTTGGCCAGGGCTGGGTTTGACTCTGCCACTCTCAGCATATGGGGC